TCACACACAGTTGCAACGTATATACAAAACAATATAGCATAACAATACACACATATAAGCCTATGATTTGCATATGTTTGTTTTTCTTACACCGCTGTTTTCCCTTTAAATAGACCTATTTGGAGGTTCTTTCTTACTTGCAGTATTTTCTGTTTTCCAAGCCAACCTGTGCCTGTATACGGACTGTTCTCCTCATTCTCTTCTGGTTTATGAATAGTACATAAATAAATGTCTCTGAAATGACTGAGTCTGGGTTGAGTCCAGTTGCTCTTGGCAAAAACATTTCTCAAAGATGAATTAGCTTTTTTGATAATCTGTATTTTTATGATGGTGAAAAGGCCAGAATTTAATACATTTTAATTAGTCTACCCATTTTATTTTTCTTAAATTATTTTTATATGAGTTAGGGGTTTAATTCATCTGTAAGTGTAATGTAGCACAGCTTATTTGGATGCTGAAAATAACTATGACAACACAAAGCGAGTCATATCCTCCACACATTGACCTGTGACCTCTGTCATCCCAAGTATGAAACATGCAGCTATAACCCAAAAACTCCAGTGAACTAAAAAATAACCTTAATCCAATCCAGATGGACCAAAACTGCTCTTACACAATGATACGTGTGACTCAGAATTCCACAGAGCCATGAGGAGGTGATAAACAATAGCAAGATCTGACACAGTCTGTAAATACAGTTATTGTATATTATCAGCATAGCAAAAATATGCAGTCGGCTCACATGCTTTGCTGGCAGAAATCATCACAATGCCAGCTGTAGTCCTCCATCCACGAGCAGAACCTGTCCTGTGATATAAGGAGACTCCAGGAGGAAAACGACAGCCTGGGCCACCTCTGCAGGTTCCCCAAAACGGCCCAGTGGAATTCTTCTCACTGCTTCTTGCTTCTCCAGCCCTGCCGTCATGTCCGTCCGAATGAATCCTGAGAGGGGAGAGTGAAACGAATTTTCAGTGTTACTCATATGACTGCTAATATGCAGATTAATAGGCAAAGGAAGTATTAGAAGAAAATGGTAGGACAAACAACCTGGAGCCACCAAGTTCACTCGTATGTTCCGGGTAGCAACTTCCTTCGCCAGTGAGCATGTGAATCCTTCCAGTCCGGCTTTACTGGCACTGTACACACACTGACCGGCGTTACCCTTCACACCCACCACAGAGCCTGAGGAAACGTGATTAAACATATAAAGCCTACTGTATCATATTTGGCCTCTAAAT